GGATGTAAGGGCATGGAATTGGACGGATTTGCTCGATGGATGTAATGGCACGATGGATGTGTTGGCCCCAAGCCTGATTGAACCAGGGACTGCACGAAGTGCGATAACAGCGTGCACTTGCATTTTTTTCCTGATGATTAACCCCTCCTTCTGTGTTCTGTGAACCCTATTTCAGTTCCTATTCTTTCTTTAACAATCGTGCTCGCTCGAAACAGTATTCCTGTTCTCCGTTTATTTTTTTAAGAGAAACAGTTTGGGACGTAAAAGAAAATAGATTCCAAGCCAAATCCTTAAGCTCCGGTAGCACCACTAATCCATAACACAAAAGATAGGCTGCATACATTGAAGCCTGTTTCTTCCGAATGTCCAGTTACATTGACCGAACAAAAACTGTCTGCACTCATGTATGCAGACCGTGTCTTTTGTATGATGTACGAGCAGCAACTTTAGAATAATGATATTAAAAAAAAGTAAAAAAAAGTTATAAATTCAGGTGTGTGTTTTTTTGTTTTTTTTTGTAAGCTTTATATATTTGTTTTAAAAAAGCCGTGAAAGCTACACTAACGCGGTTTCTGCGGGTGAGTTATACGGGCAGGGGGCTAATCGCAACGATCAGTCGGCTAATTAAGTATAATTTGTTCGTTAACTTTTTAATTAGCGAAAATAGACGTATGGTTCCAATTAGAACCTTGCCGAGAATCGTCGAAAACCACCAAATCAACTCTTATTATGAAGATATAAGACAGAAACAACATTTTACGGTGCTCTAAAGAAAAGAACGCTTAATTTGGACGCGTTTTTAGGTTTCGGTTTTTTATCGGAGCGCATCTTTGCGCCCGCGGTCCTGCTCCCCGGTGGTCGCGGCGCGAAGCCACCGCTTCGCCTCCTTTGTAAGATGGAGGGAAGTAGGGCACAGATGTGTTGCGCGTCTCAGCCACTGGGGGAGCAGGACCGCGGGCGCAGAGATGCGCTCCGATGAGAAACCGAAACTTAAAAACGCGGCCAAAATAAAGCGTTTTTACGGAATGCCGTAAAATGCTGCCCCTGGATTATGTACTTCTACAAAAGAGTTGATGTATTGATTTTCGATGACTCTCAGCAAGTTTCTAATTGGAACCATACGTCTAATTTCTCAAATACAAAAGTAAATTAACAAATTTTACTTAATTTGCCGTCTGATCCTTACGATTAGCCCCATACACTATGTCCCCATGACCGTATAGCTCACCTGCACAAACCACGTTAGTGCAACCTTCACGTTATTTTTCTTAAACAAATCTGTAGAGCTTAAGAAAAGCCCAAAACCCTGTATATCCTCACATATTTGTATCTCAACAAATCCCCAAATTCCGACCTTTTATTTATTTATTTTTTGTTCAAGGGAAGAAAACATTAGTTATACTTACGCACGTAGACGGGCACTGCAGAGTAATAGAAATGTATTAGGTTAATCGCACAATTGACATTATGAACATATATTAAGCGCACGAACAACATTCAATGTGCCCCTTTTTTCGCACTTTTTTTTTATTATTCACCCCACGACAGAGGGTTTCTATTTCAAATGGAAGACGATACACGTGTTCAGAAGCTTTGTTCCGACAGGTGGTGTTTGTGTGTTCCGACAATAGATTACGAGATCTCAGGCCACAAATTTAGATCGTAATTTACAATTAACCGACGAATAATACGTCTCCTACTCCTATTATTCACTTGTTCGTAAAAAAAATAGCGGGAAAATATATTTATTTGCATGTCTACGACCTCATTTGAGGTTTCTGCCGGATACGACAGCTTATAGAAACAATGAACAAGATATGCAGAAACAAAACTAAGACCACCCTAGGAAATAACGATTAAAAAAAAAATAAGATCATTGTATGCAGGATGCGCCCATCGACATTATTCCATAGCTCAACTGTACGTAGAAAGAAGGCATTTTCGGAACAATTACGATATAAAACTGGAAATTCTCAATTTGATGCATAAAAATCTAATGGCAATACTGGAGACGAACAGACTCTGACGCAAAATAACAAAAGTATAATCTAAAAAAAATCGTAAAAAGCTTTTTTTTTTTTTTTTTTCATGTTGTTCGCGAGCAGCATTGGGAATTTGCAGCACTTCTTTACGTCGAACGACTGAAAGCAGTTATGACTTGGAAGAAGGCACGGGTGCATTTAAAAGCCCATGGATTTGCAATATTTGCGCCTGTTCTTCGTCTCGCAGTTTTGAGTACAGCGGTGCACGCCATCATACCGCTCACACTAAACGTCGGCTTAGGTTTCGAAGGACGAGTGATTTGTTTAGAAGAAGCATTTAAATCCTCCATTGCTAAGCTCGGGTATCATCGCACTTGGGAAAGAGGGCGCTAAGTTATTGAGGCGCTGGTTTGCACCTTGATTCAAAAACAAGTTGGTATACGCCACGCTGGGGTTCGATCCCCGCCAGCGCTTGTCCTTTTTATCTTTCTTTTGTTTGCATGACTGGAATGTTCCAGATGACTCGAGAATCTTGTTGTTTGTTCGAGTTTGGAAATTTCTAGATACTTATGCGCTTACAAAAGAAGTTTGGCATGGCTGCTTGAGGACAGTCGTCCTTCCGTCGCCATCGAAGTATGTACGGTGTTTGTTACTTTATGTGTCTCGGCACAAGTTAGCCGCATTAAGCGTTCATTTTAAGTTTCATTAATCAAGTTTATGTTTTTATTCGTGACAAAATAACGTCTAAACGCGCATACCGGACGTCTTAAATAAAAAAAAAAAAGCTTACCCTTTTTCACAATTTTTTCTGAAATGCAACAACGTTCGTCAGGTTAGTACACATCAATAGTGCACGAATACTTCGCTTGGAATTGTTTTTACAATACGCGCGACTTCTGTAATATCTGAGTGTTATTTCGCTAAGGAATGTAACGATAATAATATATATATATATAGGTGTACTCACTAGTCACAACTTTGGCTGTAATCAATCGTGAAGAAAAAACATGGCATTGCATGAGTATATCATATAGTCTATAAGTTTTTTTGCGCTACTTAAGGGACAAACTTTTAAGCGTGTAGACACGGACAAGCGCTCTCGGTACTCAATACTTCTAGGGAAATTATTTCGCGAAACCTTAATCGGCGTCATTTCTCAAAGTGTAATGAACATGTCTCAGGGTATTCACACTGTAGTACTTACCCATAGAGAACAAGAGGAATAACATAAACGTATAAAAACCTAAGAAAATACCCTAAGAGTGCAGGAGAGCTGGTGAATATTAATTATTTTTAATTAACCTGAGACTGGGGTCGAGAGAAACATCAAAACGTAGAATAGACAGAAAAAAGACAGGACGACGTCGTCCTGTCTATTTTTTGTCTCTTCTACGTTTTTATATTTCTTCTCTACCCCAGTCCCAGGTTAATCCAACATGGTTAGTATATAAGCCGAACCGTGCGTTGGGCAATTGTTGTGCATTTCTTGTCGAACGTACAATTAAAGTCTTTCGGTGGAAATTCCGATATTCGGAAACTCAAATTCCCAGCAAGTATGTGGATTTTACGAGACAGGATAAAAGGTATACCGTACTTTTCTGCGGCTTTTGGTTGACCACTGAAATTGAAAATCGTGATATAAGAATCATCACCGTCGGTGTAATATCACGATCAAAATAAACAATATTTTTTACTCAAAACAGGGCTACGCGGCGCCACAAAGGGGCGCTTTGCCCGTACCTTAGTAGGGATAGTTAAGAAAATTTGAGAAATTGTGGTTAATATCGAAAGCGCTAGAGTGTAGCTTTGATTGAATCGGCTCGAAGAACATTTAATGTAGCGCTATAATGATATGACTTAGCTAGGTGGCGCAAGTCACCATCCGATGCAAAAGAAACAGCCGCCATGCACCCACTTATCCAGCCAGGCTGGCACCTTAACCACACCATCATAAATGGCTCTAAACTTGGCTAGCCGCCGCTAAATTTAGCGAGACAGGGTCAAATATACCTATCCGAAACAATTGCAAAAAATAATGAAGATAACCTAGCTAGGTGGCGCAAGCCACCACCCATTTCGAAGGGTTCAGCCGTATTCATTTATCCAGTGACATGTGGCGCCACGCCCAAAACCGGAAGAACTACATTGCTTTAGTCAACTGCAGGTAGCGTCCGTACCCTTGATGTGCAGATCTGAAAACAATGGAAGAGTATATAAACAATAGGTCGTTTACAGTCTAATCTCGACCGTGTAGTAGTGCATTGTTCGGTACTCACTTATGGGATGGGCTGTAAAACAAAACAACAAAGGAACCGAGGTAAATTATAAAGATTGAAATGATACACGGAAAAAGTAGAGCAGTTAGTCAGTCACATTATAGTTTGTTGCAGGCCTAAAAGAGCAGGACAAGCAACTCCCACGAAGTCCACCACTCTTCCACTTTAGCCGAGTGGAATGAAGGAAAGAACCAGTCACGGCAAACAGAGAGCTCTGTGGGAGCGGTGGCGTCACTAGGGTCAGCGGCATCCGGGGCGGTGGCCAGCGCCCCCCCCCCCCCCCCCCCTTCCCTTTTTCAGTGCCCAGCTGCACCCGGGGCGGTCCGCCCCCCTTGTAACGCCACTGTGTGGGAGGAGCTCTGTACCAATGTTGTTTTATTTATTTCCTACCAAGTAAACTGAATCAGCTTTTTCGGCGTCAGGAACTTTTCCAGCGCCTCTTGTTCATAATAAGCATGTTTTTTTTTTTTTTTTTGTCGAGTTGGTTAAGCTTAAATCTGACGTCTGTCTGATATATGAATAGTGTTTAGTGTCTGCCGTTCAAGTGCGAGGCTACAAGAAAACAAAAACATCAGCTACTTGAAAACAAACTTACTAGGAGGTTTAACCCGTCATATGATGCTTCGCTAAAGCTTAGCTGGATCGAAGTATAATTCACGTGCATAATGTACAGTGTGTACAAGTAAAATCAGTCTTACATTTGTGGACTTTGGGCTGAACGTAGACTCGCTCCCTGTACACCACTTGTTTCTTGGCTGTAGCACGCAAAGAGAAAACGAGATGGTGTTGCAGGTTGAGGCAGGACGACAAGATACCTCATCGAAGATTACATGGCCACAAAGAACGACAAGAAACTATTTCCGAACTCCCATGAGATTAAAGACCCCTATCCGGTATGAAGACTGGGCGACCCCCTAGACAAGAACTACAACAGAAAAATCTGCTCCTGGACTCGCTCCTTGACTACGCCTGGTCATCGAATCTGACACAAAACATCTACTAATCTCACCTCACCACCACATCTTCCATCCCCGACTGATAAGATTACTCTAATCAAGTTATCTCGGTTTTTCTCTTCGATTAATAATACAAAATACTTCGCTCGCCCTTAAAGGGCCCATGAAACGATTTTTGGGTTGGGATAAATCATTTTAGATTGAGATTTTACTAATAGAACATCGTTCAGTGGGCCAAAAGCAAAAAGGTAGAAAGTCAAAAGCCTGACAATCAGTGCGAAAATTTTAAAACACAGCGGACTATTTCGTTCCTCCTCCCCTTCGTAACCGCTTTGCCTTTTCACTGAGGTACATCCGCCGTCCCAAAAGCGTGTCATCGGGTCCAAACTGACGTCACACAAAACCGGACCTCATTTAGTCCCTTCACCCCTAAGCTGACATTGTGGTGGAAGCTACGCGCTTGCCGGACCAATCAGCCACCTCCGTTTCATCACCTGACTTCATTCTCTGCAGCCACATTTGCCACGCTTACGTGGCAAAAGTGTGGCTAGCCCAAGGAGCACGTAGCTTCCACAGCACTGTCAGCTTAGGGGTGAACGGGCTAGGGAAAGAAACTTTTGTCTGAGTTTTGAGCGACGGGCTAATCTTCTAGGGGGACAATGGCTCTCTCCGGGTACGCAAACCAGGCTCCGAGCGAGAGAGGCCTCCCTTCTTTTCGTCTTTTTGAACTGTTTGGTGGAATGCGCGATTTATGAGTTGAGGAGGAAAGCGAAACAGGAAAAAGTTGGAAAAGCGTTTCATGACCCCTTTAAGCTGATAGTGTGATGGACGATACGTGCTCGGTGGATCAATCATTAGCCTGTCCTTAGCCATATTCCCTGGCCGCCATTGCTGTGCGTGTTTCTATTGACCTCGTGTCGGGAGTAAGCTTCCACCAGATTATTTCACACTATCATAGCCGTGGAACTTATCTGACGTTAACCTGATCTACCGATATAAGCTGGTGAAAGTTCATTGTCTGCACGAGCTCGAGAGAAACGCACAGAGCAATGGCGGTCAGTGACGGTCACTGAGAATATATCCTGGTCAGCTCAGGGGTCAACGTGAATTCGCGGAAAAGTTGGTGAATATTCAGCGAGTCTTACTTTTGTGACCTTTCACGGGGTAGTTGTAGGAGCGACCTGTGCCAGAAAAAAATACATAAAAATTAGTTTTCTTAATAATTACGTGCAAATTGTACGTCGACAACACAGAAGCCAATAGACGCAAAAGAGAACAAGCCTTTTTATGTAGCGTTTGTCCTATCAAACGTTATAATAGCAAACATATTACCAAGGAAAGAAACCTTGAAAAGAAACATGCTTACCTTTCCTTTTAGCCAACTAATTAGGCAAAACAAAAAAGAAACCATATAGGGGGTATTCACTGGACGCCACATTTGAGGGCGATGTTTGGAGCGCATGCTCAGAACGAGCTCACATCAATAGCCTGCTAAGACCGACAATCTTGATGGTGCGGAATGCACGTTGCAAATGAGCAGCGGAAGCTGACTGTCAGCACGCGCTCAGCAGCCGCGCACACAGATATGGCCGCCAGTGAATACTCCCTATAGGCACAATAACTCGGTGTTTAATTGAAGACGTCCCGTAGCTACTTGCAGCAGTCAGGGTACTTGTACTCTATTCTTAAGGTAGTATATAAGAAGCTTCTACCAGTATTGTTTCTGGCTTGAATATATACGGGAAGGGGGGGGGGGGGGGGGGACCAAAAATAACAAGACTGCATTTTTCCTCCAAAAAACCTCCGAGCATGCGTACACCCTCTCCCCTCTATTTGCTTCTCGATGCCACCATCATTAGAGAGTTTCAGGAGATCGTTCCGATGACTCCGATACCGAAACCCGATACTCCGTCGCCGCCTTTGCGCGTGCATCGCATCGCACTTCGGGCATCGTTATTGGGGGTGCCGGAACAATCTACTCAAGCTCTCTAGTATCAGCACCTGTCTTTGCGCGTATTTCCTCTTCTTGTTGAATTAACAGCGCAAATACGACAGGAAGGAGAGATAAGGTCATCATCAGGTCTAGCCCACCAGATGATCGTCATGTATTTCCTCTTCCTTGGCGATTTTTTTTTTTTTTTTTTTTTTTGTTGAGCATCCGTAGTTTTAGAAGCAATGAAAAACGGTACAGCGGCACGATGACACTGCGTTCTGACGGATGGGCACGTTGAGCTCTACTTCGCTTGTAATGCGCAGAACACCCCCCCCCCCCCCCCCCCCCCCTTTGACTGCACTCGTTACTAGACAAAGATAAGATTCACTAGGTCCCAGTCGTAGGGAGGAAATCAGCTCGAGACCGCCCGTTTTCAAGGGGGAAAAGCCGCATCATAATCATTATCATCATCAGGTCTATTGTTTTACAGAGGCGGGAGGGGCGTTAGTACCGGTGTTTGCCGCTAGGCGCATGTACGTATACTACACTGCCATGTATACGTCCTCGACTTGGAGCTCTTTCCTATTTCATCGTTAGCTCACTGTCCGTGTCGTTTCTGCCTTCTTCGTCCCTGTAATCCTTTTTTATTTGCATTTTTAATAGCATCGAATCAAACGTTGTCGTTGGAAACAAGTTCGTTACATCAATGCGTTGTTTTCCTTGAGCCTCTGTCTTCAACGATTTTTCGATGTCGGGGGTGAAAAAAACAACGTGTAAACACCAAATTCCGTTTCCTTAAAAAAAAAAAAAGCAAGAGTACAATCTTTTTTTAATGCTTGGAGAGGCTTTAAAACAAAGCAGCTGTAAACGGGTACTCTGTAATTTTTTTTATGGTTTAGCCTCAACATTTTTTAAACCATCACACAAACATCGCTGAGTTAATTACCCAAATAATAAGCCAAATAACTTTTTTAACGGAGTTTTTGCATTTTTAATTTTTGTCCTCACCAGATTTCATTTTGTTGTTTAATTGAAAGTTCTTATTGGCACCGATGAAAAAGTGACTCTAGCGGCTGGCAGAGGCTAACTCTTTGGGGAATACTGTGTTTTCTGATGATCGGAATACTGTGTATTCTAGACTGACTGCTCGGCCTGCAAGCCTGCCTGCCAGTGACGTCACGCCATTGAAGGAAACGGATAGATTTGAATGTTAATCTTGCATCGGTTTCGTTTGCCGATTTCTGAATATTTATTTTTGAATCGAGAGATACGGAATAGCATGTCGGAAAAGTTAAAAGCCGGGCATTCCGGAAATATAGTTAGTTTGTGCTTCTTAAAAAAAATAGCCAGAGCGCCCGCCTGGTAAAGAGAAAGGTTTGTGAATGGATTTGTCAGTTCAAAGGTGGCGACATTTGTCGCTTGAACAGCAACCGCGACGTGGGCGTCCTTCAACAAGCAAAAGCGACAAAAGCAATTAAATAAATTGTAATGTAATAATGTTTGATAGACTTCGAAACAATTTATGAGTTGTAAGCATTGACTGGAATTTCTGGGGGGTCATGACAACGAATTCTGACATATCTTGGCGTGAACCAAGTGGGTGCAAAATGCGTTCCTGGTTTCACCTCCATAGATCGGACAACCAATCGCTTGAACGTGTGCCGTGAACTGAGGTATCAATTGAAAACTGAAATGCCGATGCCACCCTTTCCTCCCCTTACTCCCCGGACCTCGCCCCCCCCCCCCCCCCCCCCCCCCTCTCCCTAGTTTGTTTTTATTTCCTTTACGTTTTCAAGATGTGTAGGAGGTAAAGAAAAGAACTACGGAGGCACTGAATGCCACCAGTATGCAAGAGTTTCAGAACTGCTTAGAACAATGAAAAACGCGATGAGGACAAGTGCATTTTGTCTAAGGAATTAAACGACTTTAAGGGTAATCGAATTTTGGAGATGTTTAAAAAAACTATACGAGCATTTTGAGAAGAAAAAGAAATGTTATCTTCTACTTATTATTTCAAATCCATTGTTCCAACCTCTGAAAAAATTTGCCGCCTGAACAGACTGCAAGCTCGTGGAGAGAAGACAAAAAAAATTGTACTCGTTTCGGCGGTCGGCACAAAAGAGATTCAAGCGTTCAGTTCTTGCTCCGCTTCCCCTTATTCTGTTGTCGACCTAACGATCTCATCTTTCGCCATTCTGACGCGTATTACTCTAGAGGACACCGCTTGCGGGTCAACGGCTCTAGTCTAAGGGGGACCAACAAAAAAGATTAAAATATCACTAAGTATCATTTTATGTCGAGAAAGATTGCGGCAGGAGAACTGAAAACGAGCTAAGTGCAAGATCTGCACTCCCCCCTCCGCAAGTCAGCCGACCTTCTGAACGCCCTAGAGCTATATAGTAGATGGAGAAATAAAGATGGACGACCTCGAAGAAGAGGACCGTGCCTTTCAGTGACCTCTTGCGCACTTTGTTTTGAGTTGAGTTATTTGGGAACGAATTTCCGAAGTCAACGCGCTTATCTGCGCAACGCTCCATGGCGTGGACCTTGGCTACGGCCTTTCGTTGGTCTAGCTGGCACATAGTGATGAAGGGTCCGCCTGAAGATACAGAAACAAAACAAAAAAAAAAGAACAAAAGCGGCTGTTGTTGTTGTTGTTTTTTTTGCGTTTTTTTTTTGTTTAGTTTGTTTCTGTAAGTTTAAGTTGGGGGGGGGGGGGGGGGTGACCCAAGGAGTGGACGTGCATGGCAGCAAGTGCCAAGTTTACAACACGTAAGACCTTACTCTTTCTCAAATTCTTTTGATTTGATATATTCTCCCCTTCTCTTGCGTGTAGCAAATTATTTCAAGGGGAATTCCGCTTGCAGGGACTACGGCGGTTCGATGTAGGCGTGTGCTTCTCTAGATGATCAAATAAAAATTATCACAGGGCGATTTTTTTTATCTGTCTTGAAAATATGAGCTCGTGAAGTATATCTCAATGTATATAAATTACATCTCGGTACCTCCAACTTCCATACTACCGTGATTTGTTTTATGAAGCGGGTACTTAGTATCTTATCTTCGGTAGGCGAGTATCCTAATCCGCATTAGTTCTTCCACTCTGTCCCTGTGTTTTTCGAGCGTTTTTATTTTTTGATTTTCTAGCGTAAGCGAGACATCAATGTCAGATAAACTAAGGTATTGCGTGAATTCATCTACACATGGCACGATATAAATCCGAAATAAAGTATTGTGTTCTGCGGTTTACAGCCAGGGTTTTCTTGAAAATATAACACGCGAATTGCGTCGGGCTAAACCAGAAAGAAGAAAAGAGATTGAAGTTACACGGTGAGAACAGAAAAAAAAAAAAAAAACGGTAAAAACTTACCGTAGGAATGAGGGTAGCCATAATCGTAATTATACGATGGACGACTTCGAACCACGATCACTGTTTTAAAGTTAAGAGAGAGGGAGAAAGAAAACAAAAATAAAACAAACGTTTATTCTGTTGACCGACACGAGATGAAAAAATGCGCGAGTACGCTAAAGAGTGAAACACATGTGATCAAAAACCGCGTCGCATCGCGCCGCACCACAGCAACCCCCACTGACACCGCGACGTGGCGCCACTGCATTCGGTCACGTCATGGAGTCAGCGGCGGTTGCCATGGCTACGCCGCTAGGCGGCGCGACGCCATTTTTGCTCCGATATGTTTTATAGAACGGCAGATTTGGCGCACATTATGTTTAAGCCGCTTCCCATCAGTTTCTTTCTTTATTCCTTTAACTACAAGATATCTCTGGCCATGAGACAACCCCAGCAGTACTGGATATGTAGACATATATACAGATACTAAAATAGCAGGTATGCGCAGTGCAAAAAATGAACACAAAAAAGAAGGGGTGGAAACAAATGCATAAAACACACAATGCAAAAATTACACTAAAAGGGAGCTCAATCAATTCAAGTACGTTGTTTGAAGTAAGTATATCACAGGGAGGCAGATTGTTCCATTCTATGGAGCCGCCCGGAGACAGACAGGCATGTGTTATTGCAAGTGCTTCAACTTTCTTATACTTCTGGGAAAGAAAAGGTATTTACTTTACTAGAACAAAAAAAAAAAAAAAAAAAAAAGGAAAAGAGGAAAAAAAGAGCTAAACGTCGGGACCTCTTCTGGGACTTTGTAGTTGGTTTCAGACGAATCAGTGACTCCGGGAGCCAAAATTATATGGGGAGAAAGGGATTGAAGAGCGGGAGAAGAGAGGGACTTTGGGACACCTGAACAATGACAGAAAATCGAAACAATTTTACTACGCATCGCCCAACGCTAAGACTCCGTCCAAGTGTAGCGCCTTCGGTTGGCACCACATGTCAGAGTTTGGCAACTTGCACCGTCATCTTCTCGAAAAGTTATAAGCGATTTCCGGAACTCTTCAACGAGGAGATGACTGCCAACCGAGTCCACGAACGCGTGGAGATGACTGGCGAACGCTATACCGTAAAAGCGCAACATCTTCTCATTGAAGATTGTCCTTCGTCGCTTGATAACCTTTAAATGAGATAAGTTTTAGTACCGAAACTTTGAAATCTGGTTTTGCGGTCGCAAGCGCTACATTTGCGCAAAGGCTGAACGTTCGGCGACGCGCCGTTTATTTTTGCGGCGACAAAAACGCGGTCTTCTTTTTTCCCAAACACCCGGCACTAATGCGTTTCGTCCAGCGTCGACGAAAGCAAAAGAAAAGAAAGGACGAGCCGACTTACCCGTGGGCTGCTTTTTTCCTGTTAATTGTTAAGAGGAAAATTTAAGTAAAAAGACAACAGCAACAAAAGCGACAATTAATGAACACTGGGCTCATGGAGAACCGCTTTGCGATCTTCTGGGTATTCACGTAGGGAAACAGGCTGATATATTTGGTGTGTATTAGGAAGCGGACTTAGACGGGGGCGATTGGTCGCCTCGTAATGACTCTTTCTTGTCGAATAGGCTTTCGAACCGTCTTGTCCCAAACACGCGTTTTTTTTTTTTCTTTCTTTTTTTACTTTTATGTTTTAAACAAACTTATCGATTTCCGTTGTTTTTTTTTCCCCCTGAAAACTTGTTTTTGAATTGGAACTTAATGTACTCATTTTTCTTTCCCTGTGCTAAATTAGGATATATATAGGTGCATCTTAGATTAGTTCTCAGCTGTTTCACCAAGATGTATTAATTTCAAAAGCCAAAATCATCACTTCTTCCTTCGACAATTAATTCAAGTAAGAACTATTTCCTGCAGCGCACGAACATTGAGCAAAAATGTAATTTTTCCCCCAAGTGACGAGTACAGACTCAATTTGGAAGCTTTACGATTGGCGAAATTAATACTGTACCAAAATCTTACCACAAAATGTGTCCTATTTAGGGCTGGGCGCCGATTAAAATTTTAACCCGATTAATGGCCACCTTTCATCGAATAATTATTCGATGCAAAATATAAAAAAAGGTCAGAATTAATTATTATTTCTTTGTTTGCATTTGCTGAGTAGTCTTTGATAAACAGCGTAATTTAGAATTTCGACTATGAATCAACCTCGATGTATAGTTGAGAACAATTCAAAGACACTCACACTCACAGATTTTTACTCGAGCCGCACGAGGCAAAGAGGTCGGCTGATATTCTCCGGCAAGAGCGACGATCTCCTTCGATCGTTCACAAGAGTCCGCCGGACTAAACGGACACTCGCACGGCATCCAAGTCGCCGGGGACGGGCATGTAACCTTCTGCGCTTTTGTCCGGAGTTACAAATCTCGCCCCCAACAGTTTGCTTTAGGCAAAAAATGTTTACCCAAAGTTTGCCCTTCAGACAGATGTATACTCGTCCACGTCTATACGTGGTGAAAGCGTTTAATTTCTCATTTATTTTCATTCGTCGAGATTTTCACCGATGAACCGGTTAAAAAAAATGAATCGCGATTAAAGCGTTCATCGATAGGTTCTAATGGATCAATTACCCAGACTACTATTTAGCTCTTTCCTGCAATGGGGTCGAAAAAAAAAATTTCAACCTTTCCACTCTGGTGAAGAAGGAAGACCAGCGAAGCTGTACTATGGTGGGAACCAAGTAATGGCTGGCCGCAAGTCGGCAAGCCAGGGTGGAAAGGCTGGAAAGGTTGCCGCCATCTATGAGCGACGGAGACAACCAAATAAATGGCTTGCCGCCTCCGCTCATAGATGGCGGTAGCTGTCCAGAGTTCTGTGTCATCATTCGTTTGCGTACAGACACGATCCTGGGAAACCTAACCCTTAACAACTCCCCGCTGTAAAAAAAAAAAAAAACAGTCTTTCTAAAGCCGCTGGCACGCCCGCTCGGACACCGTACAAACGACACGGAGTTTCCACGCAGACACGAAGACGAACTTATCCGCGGATAATTTTGTCCGCGGACAAGCGCCTTCGAAGCACGTTCGCGTCATATATGCTTGAAATGTGTCCGCAGACTGCGTTTTGTAGGGTGTGTTAGCGATGTGGATGCGGCGTCTAAAGAATTATATCAGTGAACTGTGGCCAAGCGTCACCATGGTGGTGCTTGTGATGCTTGTGCTTGCCGAAGGACAGGGTCTCTAAGGCACCTGCAATAAAAAAAAACAAGAAACGTGAACAATCAAACAAACACTTTACGGATCGTGCTTCTTGTGTGAGTTCACAAAAGGAGGACAAAAGGATATCCCTCTTCCCCTCTCTCTACCGTTTTTTTTTTTTCTTCTGAGTTTAGGGATTTCGCAATGCCCCGCATATTATAGGATAATGTTGAAAGGAAAAAATAAATCTCGCCCCGCTTTTTCAAAGCGATCGCTAATTCAATTTGGACTACGTCCTTGTTATGCAAATGAACTCTCCGAGGGATTTAATTAGGTCGCGGGCACCGCAGATCGCTTAGGGTAAAAACGTTCTGGAACAAATAATTCTTTTCTTTTTTCCCCTCTTCAGCACTCAGTATACCGCAAATAATTGCAGTTATATTTTTTCTGCGTGTTTTCGGCGTTTGTTCGTGGATAGGAATAATCTTTTCGGGATTTAATATTTTTCTTCGAAAGACCGGCGTTTTTGTGCTTATTTTCCAAGGGCGACGATACAATCGGCAATTATCGGTGAAAAAACAATTATTCGCTGAACCTCAGCGAAAGCGACACCGGACAGAGAATATGTGAGCCTCAAGCGGTGTGCATTAGTATATAAACTTGAACTTCACTAAATCTACTATTTTTTTAGGCAAAGAACAACGTAATAAACAACACGTGCAAAAAAAAAAAGACAATTTAATTGCTTTAAAAGCCCGTTCACACACTTGCGACTCCTTAGGACCGTGTGCCTCAAAAGAGAGGCTAAATACCGGTTTTTCGGTTTCTACCTTTTTCGCGACAACTTACGACCGGCTCCGCAGTAGCGCAGCCGACAGAAAGCCGTCACAAGAGGTTTAAAAACCGATTGCGTCCAAGTCGGTCGTACTCAAACGCAAGTGTCTGAACAGGCCTTAAAGGCCCATTCACACACTTGCTACCGACTACAATCGACTGAGACAAGAGCGGTTTTGAAGCCTCTTGCGACGTCTTACGACCAGATGCGCTGCTGCAGAGCCGAGCCGCCCCAAGAGGCTTAACTCTTGTCTCAGTCGATCGTAGTCGGTAGCAAGTGTGTGAACGGGCCTCAAAGCTGGTTCACACACTTGCATTCAACGGCGCCCGACTACGCAAAGCCCGGGTTTTAACCCTCTTGCGACTGCTTGCGACCACTGAGCAGCCAGTTGTAAGTATAGTCAGAAGAGGCTTAAAAAGTGGTTGGGTGAATTCGGAGGTTATGGTCGTAGTCAAATGCAAGTGCGCGCTCGACTGTTATCACGATAGATTTACTTATTCTCACGAAATCATTTCTATACTTTTATTATTACTTCGCCTAGAAACTAAATTGAGCCATAATTTTGAACCTGTTAAAGAAGGCTATTATTTTTTTATTTGTTTTCATTTTTTTATTGTTCCTAATAATGTTAGATTTATGTGGGCATAATCAAAGCTACCCTTTTTTGTAGATTTTTTTTTTAGAAGTGCCTAAACACAGACACATGCAGATTCATCGGCAAAATGGTAGTTTCGAAAGTCGGCTTTACTGCAAGATTTACCGCAAGGTTCTTTTCATGTCGGCCATCGTATGGAAACTCGATCAAATCTGGGAACGTCAATCATTCTTAAACCTGGACACAACTCAAGAGTAAGTTAAAGTGTAAAAAGCTGGAGCAGCTAGGGGACTGGAATGCTAGCGACAACACCAGGTCTACTCTTTGTAAATACCTGGCAAAAAAAAAAAAGAACGTCAAATCTGAGTCGCTGCACACATCGAAAAAAAGAAGAAAAATAACAAGACAAACCGAAAAATACAGACGAGATGAGGGTAAAAAATAATATATGCA